TGGGTGCTAGTTCTTAGTTTATCCCCGGAGGACACAATGAATTAGCACCAGCTGTAGTTCTCTCTTCACACTCCCACACACACTCTAATAAGAGTGTGTAACGACACGTTCGGCTCCATAATCCTGCTGCCAGCGCGTGGCTGCCTGGTGCACACACACACACACACATCCTGTACCGGTTTGCCTCCTCATTCTCTCCTTTAGCGCAGGGAATCTCATAGGTGTTAGCTTTATCTTTGACGACCATATTGGGGCAACACAAAGGCGAGCTGTAATTGCCAGGGAAGGGAAAGAGGTGGGGGGTTATCAAGCACCCAAGAAAGAAATATAACCACAGTTTGGTATTAACAACACTTTTTTGTGACTTATGTGTGTGTGGGGAGGTAAGGGCAGAGCTCTACAACTTTATACCTTTGTGTGTTTGCTGTGTGGGATGCGTTAGTGAAGTCTTACTTAAGATAATTAAAATGCTTAGGCTCTACTCTATTATAGCACAAAACTACTGACAGCTTCAAGAAGTCAATTCAAATGGTTGCTAATAACAAAATGCTTTTATTATTTTCAACTGTCTGTTTGGGGGTTTTGGTAACTTTAAAGTACACCTAAAATCATAATTTGTACCATAAAAAATCTATGTTGAATAATAAATTGTTAAATATTTTTTGTTACTGTTATGAACTATTAACAATGGTGTACAAGCATCCTTAAACTTTATCGTTCATTATGAATGCAAAGATATATGAATATCCAAGATTGTACAAATTGTAAATGCCTCTTTGCCTTCCAACCATGCTAGAGAAAACAGCATATGTTGTGATTTGGAAGCTGGTATGCTGGTCAACAGCAATGGAAGTTAATATGCTGGTCACCAGCAAAACCAGCATATGTTGTGTTTTCGATCCCGGCATGCTGGTCAACCCACATAGCCATGCTTGGTGACCAGCTGATCCAGCACTAGACCAGCTTAGACTGTGCTGGATTTTTCAGCAGGGCTAGTTTCCAAACCCAGCCCTTTCCCTACTACTCTGCATGCTGTGCTTTTACCTTTGGCGAATGGGGGGATATGTTTGAACAGATTGAGCAGATAAAATGGAGCATAGCAGAAAATAAGCTGAAATAAACTAAATAAACAGAAAATAAACAAGCAAGATTTTCAGTGTATTACTCAATAAATGTTGAACCACAAATTGACAACAACTGCAGCACAGTGGAATAACTTCCAGTTAGAGTCTTTATTCTCTGAATTTGCATATATTGAACCTGTGTTGATTTGTGAAGCTGTTTTATTCTGCTTGCTAAATTAACATTCGCCTCTGGTGCTGATGAGGTAGTGGGATGATAGTAGCTTACTTGGTGGTTCCTCACACAAAAGCAAAAATTCAATCCCTCAGATTTGAGTATTTATTCTCTATTGTTAAACTTGCCTCAAACATCAGTGAGTCAGAATGTAGCCTATGTTGTGGTGTTGAAGCTGTTCTAGTTTCTAGTGCTAATGAGGACAGTATAGTGGAGTGAGAGTAGCTTAACTAATGGCTCTACACACAACAGTGTAAGCTTACTCCCCTAGATTTGAGTGTTTATCCTCTGAACTCATGTTAATGGAGCTTCAGTGAGCCAGAATCAGACCTGTGCTGTGGTGTTTCATACTGCAGCATGCTAAGCTACTGTTACCTTCTAGTAGGACAGCTCTACACACCATATTTGACAGATAGATGTGGACCATAAATTTAACACCACTGTCATTTTAAATACTCACATAATTTGTCTTTTTTTAGCTAAATGGACAGTTTCAATCAAGTTAACTATGTTAGTACAGGCCTATTCTATACCTATTCATGCCATAATTCTTTCATTAGCACATTTTAATATTGAAAGTAGCATAGCACATTTAATGTTGTAAGCTAATCTCTTTATTTTCTGTTAACCCTGTTTGGGTCGCTCACTCACTCGCTTGCTCACTCACTCACTCACTCACTCACTCACTCACTCACTCACTCACTAACTCTCTGTACATATGAATTAGCTGAACTGTGGTTCCTTTTTCAATATTGGTCATTAAGAGTACCTTACTGAGAATGAAATGCTCCTTTAATCAGATGTTTAAATGTTACATATTGAATTACTGATGTTTTTATTCACATTTTGAATGATCAGTATTTGTTTAGTTTGATATAAGCATCTATATTTGCATGTTTTTCTAGCATGCTGTTGTATTAATAAAGCCTAATTTTTTGTATGAACAATCAGGCCACTGACATGAAATTTATAGTTCAAGTTTAGGAATCTAAAAATGAAAAACTGATTAAATTACATACTTTCTGATGGTTCCCAAAAAATGACAATTTACTAGTAGGAAAACATTAGATTTTTAAAATTTATTTTATGTCATACTACTCAAATGGTGTACATATTCTCTGTGACAGGGTGGTACAAGAATGGCTCCCAGGTTCAAATAAAAAGGATAATATTAATAAGGATTTATACCTGAGGTGGGAAAATGTGTTTTCACACATTTTAACATATCTTTCATGTTGTGGATTAAAAAAAAGGTTTGATCTAGATTAAAAGTTTGAAAACTGCAAAGTGCAAATGGCACCTGTTTCATAGAATGACTCTACTATTGATGGTGTAAGCATCCATGTTGACTTGACGTCATACGCTGCGCTCATAGTTGAGAACACAGTTTTGACTTTCTGAGTAGGAATTCTCAGTTAAAGGTGCATTTTATTGTAATTTTGCAGTCCAAGGTGGGAAATTCCAAGTTCCAAGTTTCAGTCGAACACAGTATAAGCTGCAACATACTATTGGAGTAGCAAAAAAGCCTGTGTCTTCAATGGAAATATGTGAACTCTGTGCTGTGGTAACACATTTGATACAAATACCAGTCCAGGAGGAGTTCAAAAAACCACACTTTGAGTGCAGGGGGTCTTTAAAGTAAACATGTGTGGACGCAGTTGAAAGAGTATGCTGGATGGTTTTCACCACCAGAGGATGAAGTGGCTGCTGCCCTTACACTCCTCTTTCTCCAAATGCACTAAACTAATTGACTGCAGTCTCCTTTATGTCATTTTAATGGCCCCCCTTTTCATTCTTCACATGATAAAATCACTTAGCTTGTTTTCTTTAAACTGGCACTCAAACATCTCCAATCACATAGCAATTTTATGTCTGATTACTGAAACAATTACTGCACAGGCACCAAGTTAGTGCTGCCAGGCACAACAAAATGCTCTGATGAGACAGAGAGAGAGAGATGGACCCATCAGTGTGCAATTACTATATAAGATGAATTATCCATTGATTAGATAATACAGGCCTGATTTTAGAGCTGTCTTTTAAACCAAACACAATTGTCACCTGTTGGGGTTTAAAATCCCATTTTGTCCCTGGACTGTTTGAAAGCTTTTATTGTTCCAATTCATTTTGACCTCTCACTGCCTCTGTCCTCTCCTCTCTCCCCTCTGTACTTACTGTAGTTTTATTTTTTTCATTTTGTTGATGGAGAACATTTTCAACCTTTTCCACGCTTCAACTTCTTGTTCTTCTCTTTGTTATTATTCTGTCCCTCACTCCTGACCTCCCTGTGCTTCGCTGTTAGCCGAACCATTCGTTCCTCCCCTTGTCCTTTTCTGTTCTTTGAGAAGTGATTTTTTTCTTCTCTCCTGCATCTTCATCCAAGCAGTGTCTTACACTTCTAAAAATAATGGTGTCAAAAGATGAAGAACATTAATTAGCCTTCTAACTGTAACCCAACTTTTGCCTGAGATGGCATGCCTATAGTAAAAAGAAGCACTGTTCCCACATACCTTAGGCTGTAGTCAAGATCTTGGGCCAATCCCATATCTTATTTTCACCCCTACCCCTTGTTTTCGAGTGTCACCTTGCCCCTTGGAACAAGATACTAGCTGTTCTCTGTAGGTGACCCTGCCAGTGATAATAGAGTTAAATTTAGTAAAATTTGCATTATATGGGGGGGCTGGGGGGGTGTGCAATAATTATTTATTATTGCCCACCCCTAATTCTTTGGTGATATGAAGCTGAAGTCAGCTTTTGGCCAGCTTCTTGTTCGAATTTTGTTGTTCCACCTTAAATGGAGCACCAGGCGCTTCAGGCGTCAGTTCTGCTAGACTATCTAAGGTGGAATGGGAAATTTATCTAGATAACTGCCGAGACATTAGCATACTATTAGTGATTGTTTTATGTTTGTTATGAAGAAAATGACCATTATACATTGAAATGACATTAAACTAAGACAAGACAATGGTTATTGTAATTTTTTTGGTCGCTTGATCAGCCATCTTGCTGTTTTTTTTTTTTTTTTTTTCTTATAACACTGTTTGGAGTGAGACTCTGAAAGACCTCAGTTTGGAGGACCATGTAGCCCCAACACTTCACCCTACCCCTTTATGTCAACAAAAATCAGGACACCCTACCCCTGGGTGTGAACGTGCAAAACAAAGGGGTAAGGGCTACGTGGTAGGGGCAAGGGGTGGGTCTTGGTCTCATTTGAAATGTAGCACTCAAGTCTCCCAACTATCAGGATAACTGCATGAATTACTGACACAGAGTAACAGAGGCTAAAATGGAAGACTTTGTTTCTGTCTGACTCATAGATCTCTAAACTGATCTCTGACTCTTGCCATATTATTAAGACCATGTTTTAGATCTTGCTCATTCAGTGCATGTTGCAAATGAGAAGATTGTAAGTGCTGTGAATAACGGCTCATAAAATGGTTCATGGGAATTGACTGCTCAGATTTTAAGCTGTCTAATGGTATATTGCATCATTGTTTCACTGGATGATTTAATGCATAAAAATGAGGTATAAAAAAACAGAAGTGAGCACTTTGATGGAAGTGCGTCAGTACCAGTACAGTAATCTAGAAAATCTTAAAAAGTACAAAAAACACATTATGTAAAAGTTTGTTTTCCTAAAACTGTATTTAGGAACTTTTTTTAACCTGTCTGAATGTGTCCTTGTGTTATTTTTTTCTGGGCAGACGGGCGGCCCCATCAGCGGAGTTCTCAGTGGACCGCACACGTCACCTCATGTCCTTCCTGACCATGTTGGGGCCCAGCCCTGACTGGAACGTGGGCCTCTCAGCCGAGGACCTCTGCACCAAGGATTGCGGCTGGGTCCAGAAGCTGGTCCAGGACATGATCCCGTGGGATGCAGGCACTGACAGTGGGGTCACTTATGAGGTCAGTGTCCAGGTGACTCACTTCCCCTCTGTCACACAGATGAGTGATGCTGGTTATGCAAGTCATTCCAGGGAAAGCCCTCTATGTGACTTTGAGTGATTGCTGGAGCTCAGTTCTGAACTTGCTGAACTGCAGATGGGTTTGTGTGTTGTGGGGTTGGGTTGGCAGCTTACTGTTCACTGGAGACTCTGGGTAATGTGGGTTTTTGACTGTCACATAAACATATTTGCTTTTTATTTAGTGTCAAGATGTGGGGTATCATATACAGGGATGTGGGAATTGTTTTGAGTTGGGGGGGCATTTCGAGATTTGACAACATATACATATAACTGACATAACATGCTGCTCACTCTCTCTCCTTTGGGACAAATGTTACGCAGCCATTCAGCTATAAGCTGAAGATTTAACAGTCCAGTACACACAAAGTAGAACATACAGTGGTTGAAAGAATCATATTAAATATATTCAAAACAAGAGACATTATTAAATTACTTTTTAAAAACTTTTTAAACAATATTAAGCAGCTTTGGGGCACAGATGTAACTCTTATATAGATATAGCTTATAACTCTGCATACACTTTCACACTGTTTCACACTTTTCACATGTAAAGCTGCTTGAGTTTTACTGACACACCCCCGAAGTGGCCAGCACTTGGTAAAGGAATGATTCAGCTCACTGTAATGTAATGAAAAAACAGTGTTAACTTTTCAGATTTTGATCATATGCAAATAAAATGTAAACTGAAATGACAAACTTCACTCTAAAACAAGCACTTGTAGATTTTTACTATGCTCAGATTATTATTTTAAAATTATTTTTAGCAGTTGCAGCCCCTCAGCACTCTCACTTTCACATCCCTGGGCATATATACGTATGCAGAAAGTTTGTGTCCTGATCAAATTGCATGTTATGTTGATTTTCTAAGTGAAAGTAAGTTAAGGGAACAAACCTATGGTATTTTTCAGCACATTTAGGGGTAGAATTTCTATTTATTTGCTGAGGTTCACATTTTGAGTAAAAAAAAATACATAAATATAAAATGTACCATAGTATTTGTGTTTTTTTCTCAGTATGCTAAATTCAGCAAATAAACAGTTATTGTGCTTTAAAATGTGTAGAGGTGTGTCCTCTGTAGAGGACAAGTGAACTTATTTTCACTATTTTAACAGCAAAGGCCCCCAAACTTTTGCATAGAACTGTATACATGTGAGTGTCTATAATTGAAGCCTGTAGCTTTTGTTAAAAAGCACTTTTGCTCCAAACATTTTAGGGTAGCCCTATTTTTCCTTGTTTTAACCCTGAAAACACACACAAATAAGTGGACAGTAAACCAAAATAAGCTTTTTATATGTTTAATAACAGGAAGTCGATGTGAATATGTATTTCATTTTATGAGTAAAGATTTGGACAGTCGTAATCACAGCATGACTCTGCCATCTGCTGGTGTGATGGATTATGTGAGGGAGGAAACATCTTTCAGTCATAACCTCTTTGTTAATTCCCTTTGCCATGGCTCATAATAATTCAATAAAACAATTATGCATCAACATAAAAGAGCCAAATCTATGGATAAAAGATGAGATTCTTTGATCAAAGTCCTGTCATCCTCTGTGCCATCCTCTGTGCTGCCTTTGTCTGAGCCGCAGGGTAGCGAATGGGTCCAGCAGGTAGCTTATCATTTACGGATTGTGAAGTTTGGCCACTCTCAGTGGGGAGTTGATACTTGTGTGATTTGTGTGGCCCCCTGGCTGTGTGTGGTGGATTTGTCCCCCTGTTACTGACCCTGCCACTGCAGAATAGAACAAATCTCACCATGTGAAGCCCAAAGAGCCATGATGATAGTTCTGCAGTAGAAGGGACTCTGTGATGTAATGGGATTTAACACTAGCAGGGAGACACAAATGAACAAAGCAGAAGAAAAAAACACAAATTGATGTGAACATCAATAGTGTATTAAGACCGATGAATTTATCATTTGGAGAAGAGCGTAGTTATATGTATTTAATTTTATACAGTAAAGGGCCTATATCCTGGAAAAACAAATTTGCCTTTTTAATAAAAGGATGTAGTATTTGATGTAGTATATAAGCATTGTTAAACATTGTTTCCAGATGTACTATTCACTCTTCAGTTCATATGGCCTATATTTGAAAACTGGGCTACAATAACAGCCACTTCCAGTTCATTGTTTTTGTGATAACACATTTATATCCACCTTCAGCTTAGAGAAGTTACGCTCCATCCATTCACACTGACATTATAAGAAGTGTTTCAGCTTGGACTGCTTTTTGAATGAGGCACAAGAGAGGGGAGGCAAACACTGTTAGAAATAAAGGTACTGTGCAGGTATATTTATCATTCATTAAGGTACAAACAAATGTAAATGTACCTCAAAGGTACCTTAAATAAGTTTTTCCCATGTGAAAAGTACGTATTTGTACCCTTTCAAAACAATGTTTTGAAACAGAACAATGAAATAAAAAGCCTGGAGACGAGACGTGGTGTGTGGAGTCAGTAAAACCCGAATATATAATTGTAAAGGTACTATTATGTTCCCTGACTGAAGGTACTGGGATGTACCTTTGGGGGTACCCTAGTGACAAGAGGGGTAATGCCCCAGTGATCACTTTCTTACCTTTATTTCTGAGAGTGTGGAAAAAATAAAATACAAGACCAATATATGATGCAGGTAAATTAGTTCAGTTGTAGCACATTGATTCTTTGTGTGTTTTCTTCATGCAGTCTCCCAACAAGCCTACATTCCCCCAGGAGAAGATTCGTCCTCTCACTAGTTTGGATCATCCCCAGAGCCCATTTTATGATCCAGAGGGGGGCGCTATAACACCAGTGGCCAGGGTGGTTGTGGAGAGAATCGCCCGCAAGGTTTGTTCTGCCATCATTCTGTAAACAGAATTACATGCTTCAAATATAGCAGACACATTTTTGTTATTGTTGCCAAAACTTTTACATTTTTGAGCTATTTTGAGTGAGGTTTAACAGTACACTGTTCACATGTCTGGTTTCTAGCAGCTTTAGACTTAGCTGCTGTAATATGTGTCTTGTGAGGCGCTGGATATTTGTTGTTTTAAATGTCAGTGTACAGCATTTGCTCCACAGCCAGACAGTTGGCCTTAAACTCTGCTCAGTGATTTGTTATTGCAGACATGTCTATTTGCTGTCTGAGGACAGATACTTATAAGTTATTAATACCTCACCCCGTGTGGGTGTGTGAATCAATACACTGCTGGATACACACCATTACTACGCTAGCTGAATTAAGTCCATGACCCAGCGGGCATCATCGGATTTTATTTTAATGAATTCTTCTGATGCGGGGTCCATGGGTACTGTGCAACTCAAGGTGAAACCTTCAGCCTCTTGAACATTTGCTAGCTCTGTTATGATATCCGTCCAAGGGTGGAATCTTTCTGTTTTCTGATGATGTGATAAACATCTGCAGGTAAGAGTGTGTTATGCTTTGTGTTCCTGTGGCTACAGGGTGAGCAGTGCAACATCGTGCCTGATAACGTGGATGACATAGTGGCAGATATCGCTCAGGAGGAGAAGGAGGAAGGTCTGCATATTTCACTATATATGCTTCTCAGGGGCCTTAATCAGAAACAATGTGTGTGTGTTCATGCATGTGTACATGCACCTTTATATATATACGTCCTTGTTTCTAAACTCCTTGTTTATTTTATCAGCTCCTCTCACATATAGGTGCACTTTGTACTTCTCGACACTTCTTGTACTTCTATACATCTGTTTCTCTGCATACTTTGTTAGCCCCCTTTCACACTGTTCTCCATTGGTCAGGTTCCCCACAGGCCCACGACAGAGAAGGTATTATTTGGGTGGTGGACATTCTCGGCATTACAGTGATACTGGCGTGGTGGATGCATCTTAGTGTGTGTTGCGCTGGTACGAGTGGATCAGACACCGCAGTTCTCCTTCCGTTTTTAACACTTTGACCACTGACCATCTACTGTGTCCACTGACTTCCTACTCTATTAGACACTATTACCTTGTTGGTCCATCTTATAGATGTAAATTCAGAGTCTCATCTTTTGCTGCAGTTGGTGGACTATTCTCAGTCCAGCAGTGACAATGAGGTGTTTAAAAACTCCAGCAGCAATGCTGTGTCTGATCCACTTGTACCAGTGCAACATACACTAACACACCACCACCAGTGTCACTGCAGTGCTGAGAATGATCCACCACCCAAATAGTACTTGCTCTGTGGTGGTCTGTAGGGGTCCTGACCATTGAAGTACAGGGTAAAAGGGGACTAACAGATTATGCATGGAAACAGTTGTACAACAGTTTGTAATTGTAGAACTATAAAGTGCACATACAAATAGGTGTACTTAATAAAGTGGCCGATCATTGTATGTATGCATGTGTGTGTTTGAAAGTTATAATTCCAGTAGTCCAGTAAAATCTCAAAGAGCGTTCTTAATTTATTTAGGTTATAGTCAATACGGCCATTAAGTACAAGTTATTCATTTCTCAGCATCAGGTAAAAGCTGAAAAAATCATACTTAGCAGAAAAATGTAAAAATATATAACTGATATAATATCAATTGTTTCAGTATTAGTGTGGTCACCTTTTGACTTTATTACAGCTTTCATTATTTTCAGGAGACTGAATTTAATTTTTTTCATAGAAATCTGAAGGGATATTTTTCCACACCACCAAAGTTTAGTCTTAGAAGTTGGTTGAATTTTCTTCCTCATGATCCAAGAGATCCTAAACACATTCAGTGATGTCCATTTTTCTAAGCACACCAGAAAGCTTCTGTGTTTGATTAGCACATTTTTTTTCTTTTTGTCTATTCCCTTTTCTTCATAACTGTTAGGCATCCCCTTTTCATATATTTTTGAATCATGTTTTAGTCAACTACCTGTTTTTTCACTTATTTTCTCTGACTTTCCCCTTCCTTATGCAACATGGTCTCCTACCTAATCTCTTCAGAAGTATCTTCTGAAAAAAATGAGTAACATTTACTTAATGGCCATTTTGGCTGGAAACTAATTAAATGAGGGGTGCATTTTGCAGTTTTTGTTAATTTAACCAGGACAACAATTGTGGTGTTCAAATTTGCCAGTTCAGTCTGTGTTGCTGTAATAGAAATAAGTAGAGAGTGACTGTCAGTTTTGCAGCCTCTATAAAGACTGACACACAAGCATGAAATCATCAGAGCTTTACAGTGCTTTATTGCTGGGAGTTTTGCCAGTACTGATAAATCTGTACGGTGGATAAATCACTTGAGCCCTACTGTGCTATGCATGCCTGTGTGTGCACAAATGTATGTGTGTGGTTGAAGTTGTGGGTAGACATGATGTGTGCCAGATGTCCTCTAGTTTGACTTTTGCATATATTTTGGTCTTGGACTCCTGTCTTTTTGGAAGGACGTTGTAGCCCACAGGAAAGGTCCTGCAGTTTTTAGATTTCCTTTTTTAGTCTCGTCTGTAGCTTTTTACTCTCTCTCCTTCTCGCTCAACCAGACGACACTCCTGAGACATGCATTTACTCCAACTGGTCACCGTGGTCAGCTTGCAGCTCCTCCACCTGTGAGAAGGGAAAGAGGATGAGGCAGAGGATGCTAAAGGCCCAGCTGGATCTGAGTGTGCCCTGCCCACACACTCAGGACTTTGAGCCCTGTATGGGACCTGGCTGCAGTGATGAGGGTGAGCATCGTGACCTTAGTATATCAGGGCCTGACCTCTTTGAACATTTCGTTACCTCGACTGATACAGATTTTAAAGGAGACATAGTAAACAAAACTGTTTAACCTGCCAGTTCACATAAACATTATTCGTCATTTTATCTGCCATCCAGGAAATTGTGATATATCAAGCCTCTACCATTTAACATATTTCTCTTTTACAAAAGGATGTGATTCTACAGGCTGTTAGAATTTGCAGCTCAATGCTGCATCTCTAGAGCAAATGTCCTACCCAACTCAAAAGAACATTCTAGCCTTTATACTTTCACTGCCGCCTCTGCAGTTTCACACATGGACATCTCTAACAGACAGAACAGTGTAAAACAATGATGTAATGTCACATATCACTAAGATTACATGTCTACCATAGTGACTGCTTTAGCAGACTCTGGTTGATGTTGACAGGCTATTTGTGGACTAAGTGGACCATATTTTATCCTCACTACAGTAACATGGACATATAGCTAACAGTCTCCAGTAATAAGCACACAGACTTTAAGCTTTACTGAAGGAGTTACTGAAGCATCTAAAACGAAAAATCCAAAATGTAGACTATATTTCTTAAATGTCTGTTACAAGCTACAAATGTTTGTGTTTAAGATGAAGAACTGTTATAAAACGTAAATATATGGTACATTATCTTGGTGCTAACATATCATTGAAACTCCCACTAGGATGCAAACAGAAATTAGCATTATCTTGGCGGTGACAAATGAGAACAGTGAAAGCTACAACATGAATAACAGGATTTCCAAATTAAACATCTCTATGTGATTACATACTTGTCTACACGAATGCCACACTTGCTACTCCTACCCGTCTTCTGAGAAAGGCCAATGAGAGCAATGGTCATTAGTGTACAAAATCGACACCCAGAAAATGACCTTTTCTTTACAGTTAATGAAACACATCCAAATAAAAGTTTTACTTGGTTCATACTCTGTAAGTGAAGCACAGCAAAATATAAATATAAATATAAATATAAATAAACATAAATAGCCTTTGAAAATTCCAGTAACCATGAATATTGGCTAATATAATTTTTATATGGCTTTAAGACTTCAGCAGTCTTAGTTAAACATGAATTTACTCACTGATATGAGTGTCAGTTTTCAAATAAACTGTTAGATGAGAACCATAAAATCCTCAGATGTGAAGAACTTTTCCATGTTGAAGACGTATCTTTATTGTAATATAAAACAAGCAACTTCGAAGCAATATTAGTGGATTAGCATCTGGATTTTTTCCAGTACCTATAAATTATTAATATCATACTTAATAGCAGCCGACCAATATATACGTTGCAACGTTACCTATTCGGTCTTGTGCAGTCTTTATTCTCTCTTATATTGTCTTACTGAGAACATGCTAACATTATAACTGAGTATCTTTAATGTTGACCTGGAGGCTTTGTCTCTATAAAATACTGTACTTTCTCTGTAGCTTTATATTAGGTCATTCTTTGGGGAGCAGATCTTTCCTCCTCATCCAGAGTTTGTGGTCAGAGGTGCATGAATGGGACATCATGGGTCATCATGTTTTACTGAAGGACATTTTGAAAAAGTTCTAAAGTCATAATAAGAGAGGGTTTTATGACGTGACAGAACCTGCACATCACGTCTGGACAAGCCTCTGGCTTTCCTTTTTATGGGCTGCTGCATTGATTTCTGCTTGGAGACGTTAAAAGGTCAAAGCTGATTCTATACAGTTTTTATTCGCCAAGAGGGATCAATGAAAACCCCTGGCTCATTTGTACACTGGCCAATAAAAAGAGCGAGCGAGGTACCATATGAGTAAGTGTTTATTAGGCCCTGGGTAGTCTGGAGTGGAGGGGAGTAGGAAAGAGAAATTTTATGCCATCTGAAAAATATGGAATTATGGAGCTACAGTGTTTTCACTTGCACTGCAGGGAGTTGGAGATCCTTTGTTATGCAAACCTAATATTAGCACACCATCTCCTGCATGAGTCTCTTTCTTTAGAAATTTAGATTAGCTCAGCCACTCTGGATCTTCTCTTTGGTTCTGTTCTGCTAGCCCTTCTCGTAGGCCTCTCCTGCAGAATAATAGAGTCTGGTGTCAGTCTGTTCTAGCAGTTTTTTTCAGAGAGAAGTCCTCCTATCACGTACAAGCCATCACCACCGGGCGGCTTCACTTTCCTTAGTGTTTAATGGGCCGTTAACAGCTATTATCGATTGATGATCATGTGCCTGGACTGATAACGGGATCTTCTGGGATGGCATGTTTACCCATGGCATTTTAGTAATGATTCTGTTAGCATTGACTCATCAAGCAGAACTAAGTAATACCTCTAATTTAGGAGGGGTGACTCTGGGGGAGAGGAGAATACATTTGAGGTTTTGAGTATTAATATTTGAGAATTTAATTTTATAAAGAAAGAAAAAATCTGATTTACAACATTTCCTTTTCTATGTGGATTTAAATGTGTGCATGTTAGTGATGTTGTGCTTTGACCTTCCACACAGAAAGCTTTTGACTTGTGCCTAACAAATCTGTTGGGTTTATGCAAATGTACAGTCGCATGTTCTCTGCACCGCACCAATTCACATCAAACCAAATTACATGTTTTATTGATAAAAATAAGTAAACACGTCCCCTACAGAGAACAAATTTCTGCACATTTTAGTGCACAATCACTGTTTATTTGCTAAATTTAACATGCTGGGATGTGGCCTGTGCAGTTATCGCACATTTTATATTTTATGATTTATTTTTCCAGATATGTTTAAAAAAAATACTGCATTAAAATTTGCAGAAAAATTACATATATAAACTTGTTCTCTGCAGAGGACGCACAAAGTAATTTTTACTTAGAATATATGCAAAACATATGATTTGACCAGGGGTCCCATATGAAAAAAAAAAATATATGGACATATACACTGATCAGGCATAACATTATGACCACCTCTTTGTTTCTACACTCATTGTCCATTTTATCAGCTCCATTTACTATGTAGGTGCACTTTTGAGTTCTACAATTACAGACTGTAGTCCATCTGTTTCTCTGCATACTTTGTTAGCCCCCTTTTACCCTGTTCTTCAGTGGTCAGGACCCCCATGGACCCTCACAGAGCAGGTACTATTTGGGTGGTGGATCATTCTCAGCACTTCAGTAACACTGATGTGGTGGTGGTGTGTTAGTGAGTGTTGCGCTGGTCTGAGTGGATCCATGGGAGGTGGTCATAATGTTATGCCTGATTGGTGTATATTTCAAATACATTCCCCATATGGAAAAAATAGATTCCGAATATATTTTGCATATATATATATATATATATATATATATATATATATATATATATATATTCCACTACTTTTTAAAAATTTCTGTATAATCAAATCATTAAGATGTCAAACAAAGTCATTCAGAGTGGTCTGATGTGAAATGCACCATTCTAGAGCTTACCAAGTTAGAATTGATCACCACTATTTTACCATTTATTTAACACTATTTTACTATGATCAGTATTACTTATAAAAACTCAGAAGACACGTTTAAGTTTGTTGGTTATTTTGGATTTGCAAATAAAATTGCTATATTTGTGTTATTGCTTCATTAGACATTGTGACCTCTAGTTCAGAACCATTGTAAATCAGAGCTAGTATGTTTCCCTGCATTAAACCAATTCACATCAAACTAATCTGAATAATATTTGTCTACATCTCAACAATTAAACTATGCAGAAACCTAAAAATTCTGAGGAATTCTCCTTTTAGGGTTAAAAATGTGAAGAGTTCATGACTTTTTTGAATGTGTTCTAATTGTAACAAACTTCAAAGCTGATCTCTCTGCAAACTACCCTTTCTCTCTGACTGTCCCAGATGCTACAACATGTATGATGTCGGAGTGGATCACTTGGTCGCCGTGCAGTGTGTCGTGTGGACTGGGCATGCGCTCCAGAGAGCGCTATGTAAAGCAATTTCCCGAAGATGGTTTCGCCTGCACCCTGCCCACTGAGGAGACAGAGCCATGCACAGTCAATGAGGACTGCTGTGAGTACACAGATTTATTATATCATGCATACTGAATTCCTGCCTTTAGTTAGAAAAATTGAACAGTGATCAAAACCTGAAACTCTAACCTGTACCACTGCCTTTTGCCCTGAAAAATCTAATTTACCCCAGAAATAGTCAACATGTTTGGCACCTGAAGTTCTGTTCTTTAGTTTTGCACTGGAGCTGTGAGCCTGATGTAACTAACAAGTAATGGAAACGTACACCCCACCAATTAGCATCAATCAGCATCAAATAGATATGTGGTTTCTAATGCTGTATGACATACAGTTATCTAGAAAAAGGCACAAAAGTAAGTTTCATAGCTAAAAAACCATCTTGAACCCTAAATTTTGTCCATGCTTTTTGTCCATTTGTAAGCTATAAGCTTGCATAAGCTACAAAAGCTTTGTATCTTCAGTGCAAAATTAAAGAAGCAAACATCAGAAACCAAATATGTAGTGGCAAATCAACTACATTAGACAGATTAGACATTTCACTGAAACATGGCTTTAAGTTGTTTACTTGCTCCTATGTCCAAGCCCAAATATTGAATTTGCATGAGCAATCCGATTAACTGTCTCTGTGCTGCTGTATCTATCATGCAGCTCCTAGCAGTTGTCTGGTCACAGAGTGGGGCGAGTGGGATGCCTGCAGTGCCACCTGTGGGCTAGGCATGAAGCGTCGGGAGCGCATGGTGAAAATGCCCCCATCTGATGGCTCCATCTGTGGGGCAGAGGTGGTGGAGGTGGAGAAGTGCATGATGCCAGAGTGTCGTGAGTTAAACCCACAAGCATGCACGCACACACACACACACACACATAGTATGTGGATACACACAGGTGATTTTCTCTTGATACAGAGCTGAACAAATATAAATGGTAAAGGCTGGTGGCTTTTTGGGGGATTTTTTTTTACCCAGTTTTCTCCTAATTTAGTCATGTCCACTTCACTCATCTCCCCCTATCACATTATGCCACAAAGCTGGGAGGGTGAGGGTTAGCTTGTGCTTCCTCTGAGACACATGAAGCACTGCCACACCTTTTCAAATGGCTACTATCTCAACATTAATGGAAAGCTCTGCATGCTTGGAGGAAAACATTAACTGCCAATTCTATAACATCAGCTACGGACACCCGCTTTGGCTAGCATCATTTTGGGTGATGGGGAGAAAGAGGGCTGTCCTACCCACCCAGACAGAGCGAGACCAGTTGTGTTCTTTTGGCCATGGATGGCTATGGCATCGCCAAGGATCAAACTTGCACTCATCCAGTGATAAGTACCAACATTTAGATGGCTGCACCACTCGGAGGTCCAAAAGAAACTGCCAAAAGAAGAGAATGCCAAGAGTGCGAAAAGCTGCATTAAGACAAAGAGAGGCTACTTTGAGGAATCTAAAATAAAAAGCAATTTTATTTCCACAAATGTCTGCAAAAAGTGAAACAAAGACAATCTTCTTCCTTCTTTGCACAAAATGTCACTGCATTCTCAAGAGCCTGTGTGCCTTTGGCTGTGAGGGACAGGGACTCTGTTTTGACAGCATGTTTTAGTGCTGTTTTTGGCGTCTTGTTTTGACAGATACCATCCCATGCTTACTGTCTCCATGGTCTGACTGGAGTGACTGCAGTGTGACATGTGGTAAGGGCACACGCACTCGCCAGCGCATGCTCAAATCCCCCGTGGAACTGGGAGAGTGCAGCGAAGAACTGGAACAAGTGGAGAAATGCATGCTGCCAGAGTGCCGTGAGTAAACACACATAGGCACAAACACATTTGTACCAAAATTATAAAATGATACAGCTTAGCTCCAAGCCCTAAAAGGTGATGTACATAGTTAAAATGCAATTTACTGCACTCCAATCTCTCCCTAAGAGGAAAATGCATGCTGCCAGAGTGCCACGCTACATACACAGGAACACACATACTCACACGTGCCAAAATTAAGAAATGATAAGGCTGTGTTTACCTCCAAGCCCTAAAAGGTAATGTGTGTAGTTAAAATGCAATCTTCAGCACTCTTTTTACCCCCCACTCACAAACACAGCACATCTCTGGAAATGAACCAATTTGCTTGTATCATGTTTTTAATGCAAAGCAAGAAAAAAAAGGAAAGCAAAAAATTCCACAAAAGTCATTAGTTATGGAGGGATGCAGCTCTGCCATTACTGTGCAGTGGGGAATGAATTCTAATCAGGTGGTTGGCAGAGTAGCAGAAAATACAGTCTGCCGGTCTGCATCGTATTAAATTCGGTTTGAAAAATAAATTGAAATTGGGAAAAGTTTAACCTCGCTGAGCTTGTTGGACATGAACATTAGTTTTTAATTTTACTGCAGATGTGGAAACTGTTTTGAACACAATTTAGAATTGCTCCGCCTAAAGCTTCAATCAACATTCAATGCAGCTGGCAAGTTTTTGGTATAATAATAGAGGCATTCAGACTGTAACCTTGTGCCATGATGTATCCCCTCTGGAGACACAGCACAGTGATGGAAGCACGTTTTGCTTTGGCTCCACCCATGCATTATCACACTTATTAACTCTAGTATATATTTTGCTTTTTATTGCTTGCCATTTTTGTGTGTTTCTGAGCTGTGTCAGTTGTTATTCTTGGTTTTGCCATGTTTGACCCTAGCTCTGTTTCTTAGTTTTTTTGATAATGGATCTGCTTAGTTTCCACTTGCCTGCCTGTACACTGAATATTGGAGACAGTCGACAAATTTTAATGGCTCAGTAACAGCAGTATCTGATCTTTTATTAAAACTGTTTACATCACTGTGCTCTTATCACACCACTGCTGTGGAGGTGAGCAGTATTGTGCAAAAGTCAGAGACCACCCTTCTAGTCACAACGGCCATTGAATACAAGTTACTCATTTTTCAGTGTCAGGAAGCAGAAAACAAATATTTTGTAGAACATTATACAGAAAAATTATACAACTGAGCATAATATCAACAACTTGCAGCAGTAAGGCATGTTTTCATGAGTAAATTAGGAATCTAAATGTCTGCAATGTGGAGCTAATTTGCTGAGAAAAATTAAAACAGCACAACAGCCACTTGTAACATATATTTCACCAAAACTTAACCAGAAGAACTGGAGTTCATTTTGAACAAAGCTCAAAAGAGCATGTCCAGGTTTCTTGAACCTGGGCAGACACTTATGCATTCCTTTGGCTGTTCAACCAACCAACTGTCAGATTCCAGTGATGAAGATGCAGTTCAAAGACTCAATGGGTGCATCCACAGAAGCAAACTGTGGACAAATTCATCTACAGTGATGGACAACATGGCTGTTGAGTTTAGGCAGTGCCCCTTGCTAGGGCTCACCTTTAATGCACCTTTAAGACACCGCTCCAGGGTGGTATACGATTTATAACAGACTGCCATCCAGTCCAGGGACACTACCGTTTTGGAAGAAGACAACAGCCGTGGGCATTCCAGCCAACCCAGTGCTCTGTGCTCCAGAAATGATGTTATAGACCAGCGCTCTGGCAACCTGGAGAGACCGAGAAACTCTCAGAAGAGGCAAAGGGAGACAGATTCTGAGAGTGATGGTGGTGACAGCAGTTATGGCACTGATAGCAATTCCAGCAAGAGCAGAAGACCAAACTGGTGTGACACTCACTTTTGGTAGAGCAATAAAATGATTTGAAATACTGAAAATAGTTTATTTCCTATTTATCATTGCATTAAAACATAAACCTAGAATATAACAATCATGTTATATGTGATTGTTATGTCAACAAGGTGAAAATAGACTATAACTAAAGTTACCTTCATGGCAAATCACACGTGGCTAGTTATTTTTTCTGCAATCACGTCACATTATTAGTCAAAGGGACAAAATGAGAAATATAGCTATATCACTATCTTTGTTGTAATCATGCCGACTCATATCATACAGTGGTGCCACAACAGTCTCTAGAGAGTTTTACAGTTTTAAGACTAGGAAAACCTCCTTCTCAGATCCTAAAGGTGGGAGGCACTTTGCGGGAGGGAGATAAACAATGCTGGATATTGTAGTAAGAGAACACAAATGGACAAAAACACAAAAAGTATACAAAATCATTAATTCTATCAAGCCACGTAGGCTGGGGGATGCACTACTGCACTACAGAATATTACACAACATGACAAGTATCATATTAAATGCTAATTTCAGGCAATAATACCTCTTTAACAGTAGCTAGCTAAGTGAATGTCTAAGCTGGGTTTACCTTGTAAAACTTTTCCTTTGCTTTATAATTAGCATGTGAACAAAATTTAAATCTGCCATCAACCATGTAACCTAAATGTTATATCCGTTCAGTTAGCTGGTTTGTCATTGACTAGCTACTATATTTGTCTAGCTTGCTGACAGCAGGGCCACATTAAGGTCTTCTGATTCCCCTGAGCATTAGTAATCACACTCACACTGCTGATAATAACACACCATAAGACAAGCTATGACACCAAAATGGACAAGTATTATTTCATTCAGTTTTATATCTTATTAAGTTAAATATATTTTATATATTATTAAGTTAAAACACCCTTCAAGTTTAAAATACCTTTCATGTCAAGTTAAAGTATTGAGCGAAGAATTCAAAATACAAGTGTTCAAAGCATATTTATTTGCTTAATACTAGTGCTCTTAATACATTTTTTGTCCATCTGGAGACACAGATGTTTACATCATTTAAAGAGCCCAAACCAAATTGTGAAATAAAAGAGTTTGATGTGGTACATGAACATAAAATTTCAAACTGTAACATTCACTCCTCAGTCCATACTATCCCTATATTGAAACTAAGCTGGAAAAACAACTTGTTTTAAATCCATTATTTTTGTGATGTCACACAATCCAATGCATTTAAATGTATCTCCCTATTCAGGCTACAGCAGACGTACCCCACCCAGGTCCAAGTCTTCAATACCTTTAGTTAGGAAACATAATTGTGCCACATTTCATTGCTGATTTTTCAGTTGTACTGACATTATACACCCAGTCTTGACTGCAAATACATACCTCTCCCCTTCAAAAAAGGTTTAAGGTAAACAGTTGGGACAGAGATCATTTACATATATCATTCTTAAAGGCACAGTAACAAAATAGCCTGTTTGAATTCTAAAGGATAAAAAAAGGGTCAGAAAATAGTCATGTGAAAATTAATATGAACTGTTTTTGGTAGATACGGCCACACGTCATAAGTGGACCTCAGGGGGAAAAATTAACATACAAGAACATTTTGGGCCCTCTGACACCATGAATAAAAGAAGACTGCAGGGACTGCAGAAAAAAGAAACAACTAAGAAGTTGGCAGTACTGCCTCAAGTTTGCTGAAAGCATGTTCTGTTCATTTGTCATAAAATATCTAAACTGAACTAACATTAGCTCCTTAGCTAAGGACTATTTTATTTATATTTAACAGTCTAGCTAGTTAGCTGATGTTATAATGAGCTAACCAGCTGCAAACATCAATGACTGCATCCATTTTGAAGTGAAATTTTTATATGTATTTAATAATTTGTAAAATTTATGCTTTAAGACAATGGTTTTACCAAGTGGTAATAAAATTATATGTGAAACGTTTATTTGGTCTCCGTGTTCTGTGAGCTTGCATGAGCTAAAAAGCGAGTTATGATCACTTGATTTAAATCTAGTCTTTTGGTACATGGCACTACTGATTTTTAACAAAACCATAGGAAATCCAAATGATCACACAATCAAATTCAATTCGATTTAAATTAGTATTTAGTAAAATTGTAGTAAGTTGCACTAATTTCGACGTACAGTAGTGTTATCACCCAGTGATACATTTTTGTTTAAGGGGCAAGGCCTTGATCCACCTCTCCATGAAAACATGTCAAACAGATTTAGATGATTAGCACCAGAAAGATGAGACATAATACAGTAGTTTAATTATAATAGTTTTAAGTTAAGTTTAGTACAGCACCAACACCTTTAGAAAGAGTCCCCAGACAGCTTGTTATTCAATACTTGCTGCAACAACACAATAATAGATTCATTAGCCAGGCTATATTTATAATTGACTCGGAGGTATTACATTGCTCCTGTGGATATTGTGGCAATGGTTATACTCAGTTCATCTCTCTTTGTCTTCCTCTCTCTAGCTTCAGACTGTATGATGTCGGAGTGGTCGGAGTGGTCCGAGTGTAACAAGTCATGTGGTAAGGGTCACATGATCCGGTCGCGAAAGATAAAGCTGGAGCCTCAGTTCGGGGGTGACCCCTGCCCCGAGTCCATCCAGAGGAAAAAATGTAAGATCAGAAAGTGTAACCAAGGCAGTGATGAGAGGAAAAGACGCAACGAAGCTCGCAAGAAGAGAAAGAACAAAGATGGAGCTGATGAGCTAGCAGGTGGGCATCATCATCACAGTCACATCTCCTGAAACGCTGTCTCTTTACTTCTGTCCATTATTGCTTGCATCAGTCTCATTAGGGGCATTAGCAACACTACAGGCCTTTAGTTTGTAAAAATTATAAGTATGAATATTAATTTATTTAAAGAGATGATGGGCAACAATGTGCTTATTAACACAAATAAAACAGTTTGACCAAATTTTGGTGCAGTAGCGTCCAAGTGTCCAACTAGCTGATTTTTTTTTTTTTAGTAATCTACTTTTTTATAAAAAACACCTATTGCTATTTCCTGTAATGTTGCTATAAATATATGCTAAAAATTAAAAAGATAAGACCATGATTTGAAAAAACAATAAAAACAATTAAATTTAACAGAAAAGTGTTTTTCAAAAACATAATCTGTAGAATGGGTAAAAAACAGTAAATATCAATCCCAATAGGTCAACATGTAACATAACCTGACCCGAAAAATCTCACCCTAAAGCTGGGCCTACACTACACAATATTCAGCCCCAATTTTAACCCAGCTTTGCCCCTTTTAACATTTTTTTTTACAATCCAAGGCGATTTTCCAACCGTGTGATCATAGGCCCACCAATATTTTCAGGTATGTTAGATTTTTATGACTCAAAATGTTCATGAATCCTGAAGTGTGAGATGGTCAGCGACGTAATTAAACAAGTGCTAGTTCGTAGTAAAATACTTCTCCAGCTGTGTTTCTCAAACACACCGTTTGCATTTTTGCTGCCTAAAAGCACAAATAGGTCCAGTCCAGTTTAACTTTTGTATCATGTGATAATGGTAGAGATTTTGTAGCTGAATGTTTGTGATACTCTTTTTACCGCCCTGTCTAGCATGCACCCTCACAACAAAATAACAAGAAATCCTATGAAGGACTGACATTCTGTGTGTGATAATCTCCATTTCCTAAATCTTTTAGAATTTAAAGTCATGTAGTGAACACTCTGCTTAAGGTAAAAAGACCAAGGTAGGATCCTCTGGTCTCCGCCCACCTAACACAGTCTTGAACAAAGCAATTACACTTTTATGCAAGTCATATGTAAATTAGACAAATTATGCGTACAATCGCTAATTCATCGCTGCATAGCAAAAAAAGGGGACATGTATTGGTTTACAAGCATAACTAAACTCAGTGTGATTGGTTCAGTCAAGTTCAGTCAACAAAGATGGTGTCCATCATGTCCATGACATCTCCAACACTCACTCTCAGTGAGACCCAAAGTCTCAAAGGATCCCAACAAATCTCCACAGAGAGCCCTTTTACCATAGGCAGCGCCACCATGTCTTAGAGGATGGAGAATGGCATAAGCAAGTATTTATCTTGTCACAATAACTTTCTCAGCAAACAATTACTCTCCAAGTTTGTCTATGAAGAGAACAAACGCCTCACAGATGCCAAAGAAATGTATTCATATGTGTAAGAAATATATTCTATAATAAAAGATGTAAATTTGATTTTAGGGGATATTGTTGGCAAATTGACTGTGAAATAGTTTTAAAAAGTCTATAATTTTGGCCTGTAATGTATGTAACATACATGCCCGTCAGTAATTCATCTCATCAACCTTAGGCTCATCATTGTAATTAGTGCACTCAGTCTAAAAATTAAGTGAAGATGACTCACACTTGTTTGTCACCTCCTTTCCTTTTCATGGTCTCTTCTACCAGGATGCAAAATGAAGCCGTGGTCTGGATGGACTGACTGTACCAAGTTGTGTGGCGGGGGGATCCAGGAGAGGCTAATGACAGCCAAGAAGAGATTCAAGAGCTCACAGTTAACCAGCTGCAAGGACAGGAAGGAGATCCGGGCCTGTAATGTTCATCCCTGCTAGGGTTGCAGAGAATCACGGGAAGGGACATGTTTTGGCTCGGGGACGGGATATAATGTCGATCACTGGCTTTCAGTGGTGCAGGGCACTCTGTTTAGGGATGGCATGGGGCAACAGTTTGGAATTTTTATGTTTTTATTTTTATTTTATTTTATTATTTTTTATTTTTTACTAGAATATAGGATAGTGACCCACAATTTATTGGAAAAAAAGGAATGATGCGAGGTGCTTAGAATTGCTGTTTAAAATACTATTCCATTTCTAGTACATTTATATCTGATTGTTGAATTACCTTCTATTGATACGGTGTGGAGTGGTGAGATTTAGAGAAGTAAATTTTACACAGTGCTGACCATGGCATATAAAATATCATTTATTTTGCAATGAGCAGCAAAAACGTTATTGTTTCATACTCACTGATCTGAAACAGAAATGAAATTGTATCAAATCATATCATTTTCTGTTTTCGCCTCTCAGATGTGTTGTACCTGTTTGAGTCATGGTCTTGGATAAATATTACGCCCAGTGCTGCACATAGTCATTGGTGGGGTTCTCCATATAAATACCTACTTCGCCTATGGGCGGGAGACTGGCATTGTGTGGTCTTTTTTATGGAGTGTTAGCTGACTGATGGCGAGTAAACATTATTCTTTTTTTGAATATTCCATAATCATAATTTACTTTCACACTTCTGTACTAGCATTACAAACAGTCTACAGTTAAAAAAGGACTTAAAACACATCACATCAGTGCACAACCACTTCAGAAATGGCATTGGGAAAAGTACTGACCGCCGTGCCCTTTTGAAGCTTTCTACAGCAATGATTTGTTTAAAGAAGTATACATAGCCATAAACACCATGTAAATGCAAGATCAAATGCAAGGCCCCATCTTTTCAGCCAAGGCAAAAATCTAAAGCATTAGAATGAAGGCACTCAACTGAATGGTGGTACTACAGGATGGAAGGCTCTGGAAGTTTTTACTCAATTCTCCGAGTGCCAGTGTGTTCACTCTACTCTTCAGCCATCGGGTGAACAGTGAGACTGTTTATGTCATTATTTAATTTGGACATTTTTAGATCTTGGACTCATTTTAGAGGTAATTTTGCCGTGCGTGAAACCTAGCTGTGCTAAATATAGAATATATGAATATTCTTTTTGCAAGATTATTGTAAAGTTGTTGTTTTATGATATTCTTAAAAGACAATAATGGATATAAACCAATTCAGATAAATAATAGAAGTGTTTTACCGTATCATATGTTATATCCCACATATATAAAAGCACAGCTAACCAGCCATTCCAGCATTTTTAAGCCTCAAAAAATGCTCTTTCTAGAGAAACAAATCTGTGGTGTATTTTTACCTGGCTGTAATACGTAGGTGCCATATTACTGGTCTCCCTTTGATTTTGTGCATTTTTCTTGATCCCTCTTAATTCTTCCCCAGGAAATTTTTTGAGATTGTAATCCAAGATTCTTACCAAAGTGTTGTGTAGATGTTTTATAGTTGTCTTTCACCATCTTTGCTCCCTCTGACATAAAAAAATTATAATATTTTGGAATATTCCACCTTTACAATAAAAGTGAATGTGACAAAGTGCCTAATTCATTTTTGTATTATCTGTGACTTGTTTTAATTGAAGTCAGCATTGCAGATGTGCTTCAGATGGTTATCCACCAGATGGAGCCAGCAAGATACCAAAAATGTAAAATGGAATAAATAGACAGCTCTAGTTGCAGCCCTTAACCACAAGGTAGCGACAAAGGACCATCACAATGCACATGAAAAAATAGTGGCCTAAAGATCAAATAATAAGCATTTGTGGAGGCGAAAAAAGGGGGCAGCTTGAAAATATATAGCTATAGGAATGTCCCACTTTAACACTAATCACTATCGACCCAGTGCAGCTTTTCATGTACCCACTGAATGAGGTTGCCATGGTAACCTATATATTGCACTAAACCCTTCTAAGCTGCAGTCCCTTTTGACAAAGTCTGCTGCTTTGCCCTCTTGGCAGAGCTCTTCCTTAAATTGTAGCCAACACTGAAACAAATTACAGGTTATGATAAAATTGCGTTTTAGAAGCAGGAATTATTTCCTTGTAGAGAAAAATTAGTTAGCGATAACATAAGGAAGATAAATCCAATTTATTCTTATGCAATATCGCAAATCCAGGCCCTTTGTTTGAATGTTATGTGTGTGCCTTGAACACTTATAACCTATTTTCCCTTCAGCTTTGTTAGACTCAAGATGTGTATGAGGGGAAGGAAACAATAATGGCTGCTGTTGTGTGGAGGATTTCATTTAATGACACACTGAAGACCCACAGGTGCACTCACCAGCCTTTAAACCTTTACATATCTGTAACTAGATATTTCAGTATAGCCTCCAGTTCTTTACAAGGGATGAGATGATGGTGGTGATGATGATGATGATGATACATATGCATGTATCTAGTGTGTGAGTGAATTATTCAGTACTCGCATGCCAGTGATGTACATCTCTGTCACTATGGTAACAAGAGACCCTGTTCCCACCCCACTACTGACACTGCCTTCACAGAGCATGGCTGGTAATTGTTATGGTGATATGCTGTTGACATGCGTGTTAAATGTCCATTGAAATCGCTTTGGACTGTGGAGTGCATGGGTGAGTGAATTGTGTCGCAAAATAGTGGCTTGGCTCATTCTGATGTAGTCTCTCTCTCTCTCTCTCTCTCTCTCTCAGTATCTCTCAGGTGCCTCTCTCATGTAGAGTCTATGGCAGCAGGTGTGAACTCACAGTTGATTGCACTAGGTTTCAGGCTGTCAGTCATGCTCAAATAAATGGAACTCCCAGTGCTGCTTGGGCAACCTTCAACATATCTTCAGTTCACAGTGGTGCTATCAGTAAAGGCTCCTAATTTCAGCACCACCATGCAGATAGCATGTGTAGTAATTATGATTTACTGCAGGGACCTCTGAGGGTGTGTCATTGTTTTGTAGTTCACCATTAAGCATGGGTCCAAGCCATTTTGTCAATGGGAAAAATGAATGCCATTTATAAAAAATCTAATGTGTGGTTAACCATTGAGCTCCAAAGGCTATGCATTTTGTCTTATGCACATCCCCCCCCAAAAAAATACTAGTGTTGTTTCAACTTTGAGGTCAGTTAGTAGTCAAACCTAGAAATATCGCTACATACAGGTGGGTGACATAAGAAAAACCATGGGCCACCATGAGTTGCCAGATTGGCTTCACTATAGCATATAATTTAATTTTTTTTTCATATTCAGCAAACCATTCAATGACCCCTCGTGCATTGTGGATTAGGGTACTGTTATCCTGGATGAGACCAAATTCATACCCCATTAATGAACCCTCTTTCAAAGTCCTCTTGCCGTCAAGATCCAAATCGAGGTCAACTGGGCCTGCACAGCAGTTTGACATATCCTACAGATTGTGGTAGGATGCTAATTCCTTAACTGTATCATGCAGTACACCTGTCTGCAAACATCTTCACTCATTATATTTCTGCACTGTTATTGTTTTTCTTTTAATTTGTCACCTGTCTGTATTACGCTACATCTAAGCTGACCCTTCTGCACATTTAAATGACATGTGAAGAGCCTTTCAAAGATTTCAAAAATCTTCACATAATGCAAAGGTTCTTCTTGGAACCTTAGTTTTTTTTTAAACTTCATAAAGGTTCTTTGTACTCTCACATCTTACTTGCAAAAATCTTTTTTTCTGATATGCTTTGCATCATGCAAAGAACTCTTGTGTGAGTGTGAGAACAACTTTTTCAACTTGTTCAGCCTTTGGTGCTAGATTCCTGCAGTGCAAAAATAATTCCCCTCCAGAACAGAATAAAAACATACACAAAACAATCTAGCTCAGGAAACATGATCATTAGCTGATGTCACTGTTTTCCATTGCAAGAGGTAATATTAACTTCAACTCATGTTTTTCCACTTGCTTATTTGGAGTTTTTGGGGGGACTTTTCAGTCATGCTAACTTATGCTACACCCATGGGCTAATGATAGGCTTGTTTTCCATGTGAAAATGTTGATTAGTGTGCTATTGCCTTTACTTTGAACTTTGCCTTTACAAAGAAATAAGTCTACATTCCCACCCCCATTTAACCTTAAAATTCTCTTGATTGTCCCCAAACACTGACCCCCTGAGACCGGCAGCCTCACCACTTTGGCAGTAGTTTGCGCTATTATGCATATCTGTCAGAAAATACCTTGTAAGCACGTTTCCCTTCTCCTGTTAACGTACTATTTTGGAGAGACAAGGTTAGTGACATCAATTAGATGTACAGGAGTATTAGCTTGTAGCTTGTAGCATGTATGCAGCAGTATTGAAATTCCGGCTACTTAATGGTCTCATAAATCAGAGGACCCTTGACATTCAGGGGAACAATTGCACATAGACTGAAACTGTGTTGGCTCTAGAATATTTTTCTTTACCACAGGGTGTGAGTGAGGTGATTTTTGAAAATGCCATTCTTAAAAAAGCCTAGACCTCAGGTCTTTATTTAGGCATATTGCCACCTATAAAATGATGAATGACCTCATAGATCTGCATGTTTACACTACATGGTGGTGTAGCCGACAAGCTGACCAGTTGTTCATAAGGAGTGAGCTACACAGTGCGTTATGTGATACTGCTGTAAAAGAATGCTGTACATATATGACAGCTTGGTAAAAGTAGCTTAATACATAAAATGTGCAACGATGCTTATGAAAGCTCAGATTTGATATTCAGATGATCATATCATTCCCACCAACTTCACTACTGCTAGTTGAATCAGCTGCTTACTTCACTCACTCTGACAGTTCCTACAGCATCCTACCTCCAACCCGTCTCCGCCCTCATTCTGATAAATTTAGCCTCTGTCTCTGTTGTTTGTGCCCATAAGGGGTTCTCTGAGTCACGTCATGTCTGGACTCTTACCTCCCTGCTCTGGACTCCAGCCCACAACCACTATAGAATGTTCTCCTATATAGTCTGGATATAATCCCTTTTTATGGTGCAATAATCAGCTGCCATTTACAATGTGTGAACAATTCATGATGCATGGAGCAACAGAAGTGGTTCCAAATTGCTTGAAATATCTCATTACTTTGAAGGTAAAGAAATAGTGTAATGAAAAATCTAATTTTCACAATTAGCATCAAGCTAAATAACTTGACCAAGGCATGTTTGGTGTCTGAAGCTTGCTTTTTCAGTTTTGCAGTGCAGCTGCGAGGCTAATGTAGCTCATAAGTAACAGAGGTCAATGTCACCGAACATCTTTTAGTCTCATACACTCTTAAAAAGATGGTTCTCCAAGGGTTCTTTAATAAAGAGAATGGTTCTAAATAGAACCTTGAACCATTAAAAGAACGCTTTGTTTGATTAAAGGGTTCTTTGCATCATGAAAGGGTTTACAGATATACAGCACCAAAAAGGGTTCTTCTATTGTTACAATGTCAAACTTGTTACAATAGAAGAACCCTTTTTAAAAAGGTTTTATATAGAACCATCTACAACACATTCTCCATCAATCTGAAGAACCCGTTCATGTTGCAAATAACCCTTTAATCATGCAAAGTGTTCTTTTGAGTGTTTGTGGTTCTTTATTAGACCATTGTCTTTACTAAAGAACACTTGAAGGAACCATCTTTTTTTAAGAGTGTAGCTGCACTGCAAAACTATGAATGCAAATATTGGTGTCTTGGTTCATTGACTGTGTTTGGGATAAGGATGAAAACTGTCAATTAGATTTTTCTGTGATTTTTTTTTGGTTCCTACCTATGAAGTCCATTTTAGAGATACACGCTTTTGTTGTGATAGCAATAAAATAGAAAATTGCTTACAATGCGGTTCTTAAGAGTGGACATTAAACACTTCATACTCTATTTTATATGATAACGATATTAACAACTTACTCAAACCAAATTCCACACAGGAATGTTCTGGATTAAGTGCTAATTACTAGTGTCATATGATCATGTATCATATAATTGAAGAGGGAAATAAGACTGTATGTAAACCTTTAGGGATCACAGCTTAGTTTGATTAACTATTTGCATTTTATCTCACAAACATACGCACAAACATACAGACAAGACACAATATTCAAACTCCAACAAACATCCAAATGAGCTCCAGCAGGTGGTCTCTAATCCTTGCATGTCTTATCACAAGAGTTCATATTTAATCAGTGAATCCGTGTCAGAGCTGCAAATAATCACAACAAGCTTTATAGTGTTGATTAACAATCAGTTGAGACTGAATCCATGAATGCTTAAAGAAACCATGCTGGAGTTCCAGCTTGTCTTACAAGCCACACTGGATGTTGCACTAAGTACCTGCAAATGTCAGTCTGGTGCAATCTAAATCTGACTGTTTGGGTTGGAAGATGGAGAGCACAAAGGTCAGAACAGGAAGAAGATACTAACAAGGGGACAGACTGTATTACATTTAGGGCTGTAACTAGATTGGACAGAAGCTTTCTAAGAGAATGAGGAAGACAAGATGTTATGATAATAGCCACCGTATCTGCTCTGGATTGTTTTGCTGTCTCTGTAAAGACTTTGAGGTCTTTGCAGCCCGTGGCCCTCGGCACA